GCAGACTCCACATCCCCATTTCATGTACACTTTTATTTCCATGGCACTTCCGTCTTCTCTAACCATACCCTTGCTTCCCAAGTCCCTAACGGTGTGTCCGCATGTTTCTAAGAATTCTCTTCCTGGGGGTGGAGATATGGATCAGTGGTTAAGAGCACTGACTGCTCTTTTGCAGAGGACTCGGGTTTGATTCCAGGCACCCACGTGGCAACTAAGAACCGTCCTTGACTACAGTTCAAGGGGAATGCGACGCCCTCTTCTGACCTCCGTGGCACTGCACGACATGAGTGCACTCACATACCTGCAGGCTATACACTTGTACACATAAAATAAAAATAAAAAGAATTCATTTCATTTAGGAGAAGTTGTTAGGGCTTAGAATAGAGCGTGTGACTTACTATAAACAATGGAAGGTTCCATTTGCAAGAAGGTATGTTCAACCTAATCCAGTTGCTGTAACTTGCCTGTCTCCAAGGCCCCTGTATAAAAGACTTCCTCCTCAGCTGTGGCACTGGTCAGGTGTGGTTGACCCCTCAGGAGGTGGGACCTAGTAAAGGCAGTTAGCTTATTGGGGCATGCTCTTGCAGGGGATTTTAGGACCTTAGGTCTCTCCCTTCCTCCCTCTTTGTCTTTGCTTTCTGACTGCTATGAGGTCAAAAGTCCTCCCCTGTCACAGGCTTAGGCCATGAGGTAGCCTGCTGTCACAGGCTGAAAGTGATAGGGTTAAGTGACCAGGCTTGAAGCTTCTGAAACCATGAACCAAAACAGACATTCCCTCCTTTCATGTTGGTTATCACCAATGGAGGGCTGACTAACCTGCCAGTTCACGATGTTCTTTTTTGGCTTAAACCTGGCACATTGACCAGCATCTATGAAAGAACAACTTCCTCTTAGCATCTCATTGAGTTGAACTTGGCCCTAGAGGTCATGAGGAGTGCTGCTCTGTTACAGTCTGTTGGTGATACTGTGCTGCGTGCCAGGCCTGGCTATAATGCTGGCATCATGGTAGGAATCAGCATAGACTGAGGGATTATTACTGCTGAGTTGCCTCTTGTTTTATCTTCCATTGCTGAGCTGCATTTGTTTTGCATAGCACTGTTCTGATCCCCTGTAGCCTTTCCACAGTAGCTGGCATGGACGCTCCAAACCTCTCAGTTTTAACAGAACCCAGTTATATATAAGGTGTGTATATAAGATCCCACAGCTGAAGGAATTTTAGGACTTAATTCTCAGATCAGAAGAAAAAGGGAAGGTGGGCTAGGTCACACTGAGATCTAACTAACCTCCAGAGAAAAAAAGATCATGCTTATAACTTTCTAACTCAGAAAAAGTTAGCACCTGTTAATCCATATCGATTATGAAGCTCTCTTTCTGAGGTATTATTGGCTCCAGGGCAGATGTGCTACTAGCTCCCTGTTTTCCAGTGCATTTCATCCCCCACATGCACTCTCTGTATCTCTCCCTCCCTCGGAAGCAGTGTCCGTTCCTTGCCTTGTTTGTACTCCCTTGTCGGCTTCTCTGATAACACCTGTTCAATGAACATGTTCCGGAGTCCTCTACGTTCTTTTTACAAGTTGATATTTTTATTTTATGTGTATGAGTGTATGTATGTATGTGTACCTGTGTCATGCAGTGCCCTCAGTGGTCAGAAGAGGGCATCAGATTCCCTGGAACCATAGTGACAGAAGGTTGTTAGCCACCATGTGAGTGCTGACAGCTGAACTCAGATCCTCTCCAAGAGCAGCCAGGGCTGTTGACTGCCAAGCCATCTCTTCAGCCTCTTCCTCTACATTCTTAAGGACTCTAACCTTTTGCTTGCTTTGGAATTCCTAGTCCTGGCAACTATCATGCCATAAGCTTCCTCATGTCTAGCTCATAGTTGGTGCTTATTGGTACACTCAGCCTGACTCCATGTTGCTTGACTCCCTGCATTTTCATACATGCACAGAGATCTGTGTGTTCAGTTGACACTCAACAAACACTGAATGAATGAGAGACTTTCAGATCTTGTTACTTACACCAGTAATAGGTTTACTCTTTTGAAATTCATCAAGTTCTTTGTGCTCTTTGAAGATCTCATTGGCATCATCACTTCTTTAACCCTTGAAAGGGCCTTTCTATTTGCTTGAGCCAAGGTTTAGAAACCACTAAGTTAGGGTTATCACCAACTTGATGTTTTTCACTAACTCTGAATCTTATAATATATTCAAGTATGCACTGCTTTATAAAGATGAAATCTTTCTCCCTTTAATAACTATATTTTTAATGCTAATAGCTTCCTATCTCAAGAGTTCCTGGACATTTAAAAAATCTGACATCTCTTCCTCTTTTGTTTTACTTATCTTTTCTGACAGTGTTTCACTATGTGACTGTGTCACCCAAGTTGGCTTTGAACTCATAATCTTCCTGCCCAGCCACCTGAGTGCTGGGATGACAGGCAGATGCCACCCGCATCCTTTCTCTCTAAATCTATAATCTCTTCTCCACTTAACCTTCTTAGCTGATAAACTATAATTATCTCTTTCTTAGCCTTTTTTCTTTGCTATAAAAGAACATCAGAGGCCTCATAGTTCCTCTAAGGAAATAAATGATTTCTCCCAATACCAGGGGCCAGGAAGTCAGAGATGAAGGGGCCTTGTCGGACACGAGGCTTCATGTTGCACCGTCCTACTGTGGTGTATGTGACATGCAGTTGTGTACAAGAGGGTGAGATAAGAGAGTCAAGGAGGCTCAGTTCGCCTCTGTAGCAGCCCGCTGTCCTGTAGCCAACGCCTCATGATCACAGCCTTAATGCGGTACCTCTCAAACACCTTGTTCACCACAACATCACACTGACTTTTGCCTTTTATCATGCGTCTGGGAAAGGATATTAAAGCCATGTCATGTTGCTCTCTCAGTCCTAAAATTTCCCAGTCCTTTAGTGCTTATCTTGCTTGTTCTATTTTCATTGGTCACCTAATGTAATAGGGAGCAATAGCTATTTTCTGCCATTTCTTCAACCTACTAGTTCTTTTGTTTCTTGATTTATAATAGTATCTCCTTCTCAATGGAGTCTTTCATCTCCTTGTTGGTTATTGATTCTTTAGGCTGAATCCAGTATAATCTGGCCTCCTGGTCACCAAGAGGAAGAACTTTCAGACTTTCTGTGCTTTATACCTGTCTCTGATTTGTTTTTTCCTGATTACCTAACCTGGAGTTTTGTCAGTTTACTGCTTTCCATAACTATTCACTCAATATCTTTTTTTATTTATTATTTTTATTTTATGTGTATGAGTGTATTGCCTGCATGCGTGTGAGTGCACCTGTGTCATGCAATGCCACGGAGGTCAGAAGAGGGCTTTGGATTCCCCTGAAACCGGAGTTAAGGATGGTTCATAGCCACCATGCAAGAGCAGTCAGTGCTCTTAACCGCTGAGCCAACTCTCCAGCCCCTCCCTCAGTATCTCTATCCTGACCTACAAAGCAGTATCTGAGCATATTTTCATCTAAACAAATCCTTCTGTTGATAATTTTGAAGTGGATGATGGCACAGTTTTGACAGTCACGTCCATCACTTTGAGTCCACCTGTGTCTCGGTGTTACATGTTTCCAAAATTCAGATTAGAACAATTCCCATTGTGTATTTCACATATTAGAGTTCAGAGGTGTGGATATGGCTTAATGGGTGATTCTTTCCATCTTCTGACACCTACTAAAGTTACGCCATGTGTTTCATAGAGCAGCCCAGGTTCATGGGAATAACCTGACTCTCCTCTCAATGTGTGGAGAGTTGGGCTCTAGTTGTCCTTTTTCAACACAGTCACGTTTCTCATCAAACTCATTGGCTGTGCTTTCCCTCTGCTTTTCAGGTAGACAAAGCCTGAAGTGACAAGTTTTTTTTCTGAATAACTGCAGTGATTTCAAGTTAACTTGGTCACCTCTCTTCCCTTTGCTAAGCAAGTTCCTATATGAGCTGTTGTGAGTGCAGTGCTGTCAATATTCCATCTAACATGACTATACTATGGTGGCTTGTGCCCTCACATGAAGACATTACACCCTACCCCAGTTTACTTTCCAAATTTTAACCTCTTTCTTCATCTATTAATGCATTCCTTGATGTCTTCATGGAGTACAGGAAAGTAGTCCTAATCACCTGCCTGCCTTCCCCCGCCCCCCAACATGCCTTTTCACCCTCTCCCCTTGCTGTGTAATGACCTTCCAGAAACCCCTGGTTTGGGAAATCCTCTTCATCCTTCAATACTAAACTCAAACATGACCCCACCAGAGGCCTGTCCTTAAGCTTCCAAATGGGAGAGGCACCCCCGCATCCACTCCCAAGCCATTCTTGCTTCTTCCAAAGGTGTTTTCAGCATTTGAACTGTAACTACTCTTAAAAGCCTGACTTACTTTAACACGTATGTTGCTCATTGAGGTCTCATCTTTAGCCAGTACATTCATTTCACCCAATGTATGCTAAACTTATATTCTGTTTGATTCACACTTGTTCTGTAGCCAGAAGTCATACAAGCTGATCATTTATAAATTTACAACATCATATGAATAATTTACAAGCGTTGTGAACCACAATGTTAATCAGATTACTGGTAGATGACAAAGACTGTGACCTTATTAAATCGTGTTGGATGTTAAAGGGTGTCAGGCTTTCCATGTGTGAACCCTTATGTTTGCACAAATGGCTGAACATAGACTTATAATTGAAACCCCTGATAATGGTCATAACTAGTAATCAGCATTGCTTAAGAGGAATGTGACCTCGCAGTGATCGAACTTGGCTTGTCTCAGAATGAGTAGTTTGTTTACACACACACACACACACACACACACACACACACACACAAGTTCTGAAGTGTCACCTAGAATAGAATGCCAGTAGTATCTATTCTGTAAGATTTCTCATTTTTACATAATTATAAACTTAAAGTTAGTGACAGGACTTTTATAAAACAATACCAGGAAATCAAACCTGAGCTCTTATGACATAATTTTCTTGTGTGTTTTAGGCACTTTTCACACATGAGGAGAGGGTAAGCTTCATCAAAGACACGTTCTCAGAGTCAGAGACTCCTTGCCCACCATGAAGGGAGCCTGCATCCTTGCATGGCTGTTCTCAAGCCTGGGAGTGTGGAGGCTTACCCAGTCCGAGGTCCAGGACGCTTCCCAGTGCCAGAGAGCTGAGCATCCAGTCATCTCCTATAAAGGTAAGGAACGAGGGTGTATGGGGTTTCAAAACCACCACATAAATGCAGATCCCATGTTCAATGCATCATAATACAGTGTAGATATTGCATTGTTATTCTTTGATGTAATTTTTGTGACGTGATTTGGGTAATTGTTTAGAATAAAGACAAAAATAGAGTTATCTGCTGTAAGAATTGCCTATTTAGAAGCAATGCTACCTGGTAAAAATTCCCAGATAGGATTTCCGTGGAGGGAAATTACACTATTTTAGCTCATCTTCATTTAACAGATGTTGTGGCCCTGTAGCCAATCAAACAGAGGATGAAAATGAAAGAATGACCCTCACCAGTAATCAAGAGCAAGGTGGCGAAGGAAGGAAGTTCCACTTTAGTGTTTCCTTGTAAAGCCATGGTCTTATCACAAGATGTACCCCTTTGCCTTTTTCTAGCATTGCAAGGCAGTGGAGTTCACTTACTATCTGCAGCAGCCCAAAGAATGGTAGAATTGATTAGCTAATATACATACCCACTCATTTATTCTTCTGCTTATCAAAGTTTATCGAAGGATTTTGTAGCCTGGACGCTTGAACAATTCACAACAAAATAACAAGTGATCCGTGTCTTTACTCACAAAACGATATATTGTCAGCCTGAATCATATATTGTATTTTGTTAATTAATTTAGACAGACAACTTTATAAGTTTCTTTATTTATGTTTGAAACAGTGTATCACCAATTTCAAACAAATATGAAGATTTTTGTTTGAAAATCACTCCTCATTTGCCAACTCACAATCCACCTTCGCATTTAAACCCCCACCCATGACTCATCTCAGACCTATCAGATTACTTTGACTCAAATTTAGAACATCTTGCGATTTTATCTATGATATTTCAGTTTGTAACTCTTCATGAAAAAGACTTTATGATACAATTATTACAACAGACAGAAAACTTCTACATACAGTTTCCTAAATCTCTGAAGTACATGGTCTTAGGAAGACATGAATTCTGTTGAGTCAAATGATGATCTACCTGATGTCTAAACATTACATTTAAAACATTTTATTTTCTTTATTCCCCATGAAAAAATATTTGTTAAAGAAATCATTCCCCAGTCTCTGCTCACTGTTGTCATTCAAGTTTTCTTGTGCCCCCGATAGCTCTGTAAATCTGCAGTGACACCAGAGATGAGAGTCACGCTCACAGCTTTCCACTGCTGTGCACTCTCGCTGTGAGCCAGTGTGTCTAGTGGGGAAGCTGGCAGTTATCCATGGACACTGCGTAAACCTACTGATTGATTCATGGGAGCAAACTGAGTGAGCTTTCCCACTCACTTTTATTCTAGTACTTAGAATACTTCCATATAAACTAAGGTTCCCTCATTAACTATCCGAATATTTGTCCAGTGCTGCTCATATTGGGAAGGCAGAGCTCAAGTTTCACCTACAACCACCGAGTTTGGGCTTCTTGGATCTGGAAAATGGGTTCTCTGATACCTATTTGTCACCATCCGTTTTTCATTCCAAGGGATCCTTGAAGAATTGTTTTCCTTATTCTGATGATCAGCATAAGATTACTAAATGGATTTTTAACATCATTACTATGTTTTAATTCATTGCAGGTTTTACCCTTGTACATATTGGAATTATGGCTTTTCAAGCTGAGGGAAACCAGCTGAAGTTTTGAGTTTATTGAAAACCTTTTAGTCTCTGGGATCCAGGAATCTCCTGTTTCTTCAACCACTTCTTCCTGTAGCTCAGGGAATTGTTATTTCTGAATGCTTGCCTCACTAAGAGTGCTGAGTTAGGTCTCTTTAGTGAACAATCCTGAAGAAAATATTTATAAAAATGAAATACATGATATAAGCTCCTCCTGATTCTTCTAACTCATCTCTTGGCTCCAGGGCCTTTCTTAAGCTCTATTACCTCGTGCTTTCTGCATTGTTCCTCTCCCTTTTCCCACAGTAGATAGTTCACCATGTCATCATTTCCAGAATAACTACTCCATGAAGACTTAGTTTCTTATAGCTGTAGAAAGCCCTTTAAGATGAGTTTATTATATGTCACTGGAAACAATCTCCTTCTGTACAGTTATTCCAGCAACCCAAAACTCAGTTAATTTCAGCTCTTGAATGTTGCTTTTGATCTTTGGAGAATCAAATAACAATGAATGAAATGCAGTTTGCTCATAGGGATTGATCTTTTCTGTTTTCTTCATTCTGTTCTCTCTCTCTGCATTTTCATGAAGGTTTTCTTATATTTCATGGTTTACATTTCTTTCACAACACAAAGCTGTGTATAGATACATGCATACTAATATATTCAGACCATCCTAATTAAAATGTGGGGTATACATAGATTTGCCCTACAGGGTCCACTGTGGGAGCAGAGTGTATAGATTTACACCTGGTTTTCTCTTGTCACACGACTCTCTACCATGTCAGCGTCCACACTTGTCAACAAGTCATCATTGAGAAATGCTGGGCTATTTCTTGTAGGCATTATATATACTTGACATGATGCCATTGGAAGAGATTTCTAGGACTGGGTATCTGGGGTTAAAAGTAGTTCCCCTGGTGGTTGGTTTATATGGTTCATGTTCTATTTCATGAAGGCTCCAGTTTACATCTACGTTGCTGGAGGTGTATGTTTCCGGTAGCCTTTCTATCAGAGTACACTGTCAGAGTTTGAGTCTATCGTATAGCTCAGAAATGACATCTCATAGTGTTTAATTTGTTCCTTACTCCCTGATGCTAAGGATGCAACTTAGGATATGCTAGGAAAATGCTCTATCACTGAGTTACATCTCCAGCTCTAATTGGCCCATTTTTAGTCTTGGGTGAACATGTAACACACATTGAGTTAGCTTCTGTTACTAAGAGCATCTGTTCAAAATATTGGTAAAACAGAGGCAGCAGCTCCATCTCTGTTATAGGAGTTCAGACTATTTGTAGGGCTGTGAACCAAAGGGCCCTCACATCACATGCTGTTAGTTGTGTGTGACATGCCCGTGGATTCCCAGTGGGGAAGATGGAAGTCAGGCAGCTTCAGCTTCGGGGTAGATTATGGATGGCTTCTAGGAAGAGCTGAGTCCCAAATCATTGGCTGTAGGAGTTTAGGAAACTCAGGCAGAGACAGACTTTCCAGGACTAGGAAAGTTGCAAGTGCTATGTGCTAAAGTGCGGGAGGGAGCATTTCAGGTCTTGGCAAACACTATGTAGAGCGTGAGTCATGGCGTCTTCAACTGGGTGAAAGGGAGGAGGTGTATTGGCAGAGGCCAGCGTAGTGAGGTCTCAGACATGCATGGTATTGCAAGGTATCTGTAAAGTCCACCTTCCCCCAGAGGAAGGCACAATAGGGGTAGGCAGGAACCCACATTCTGAGGCTGCTGCTGTGATCAGAGGAAGTAAGGATGAGGCGCTGAGGTCTAGGGGTAACAGAATTGTAGGGCAGAGGAGGTAGAGGGTGCGTCTACAGATCCGAAAAAGAGTTGTAGATGATTTATTGGATATAGTGCCTGAGGGACTAGGAAGCTCTGATGGTATCTACATTTTTGAATCTTGACTTCAAATAGAGTCAAAAAGGGAAGCAGATGTGAAGGGTGTAATGACTTTTCACAGGAAAGAATACATTTCTGTGAGTCTCAGAGGGAAGGATCTAGTGAGAGCAAGCTACTTCAGAATCAAGCAAGGGGTTCTTTTCCAAAGAGAGTTGGTGGTGAAATTCTAATAATATGGTGTTCAAGTTAGTCTGGGACAGAAGATGGAGGAGTGATTTAGTCCTGGTTCACCTGGGCCTTTTCTTTTAACAATGGACGTTTGTGTGTTTGAAAAGCTGGAGAGTTGGTCACCATCCCAGCAATTCTGTCAGTAGTGTTGTATCTGTGTCTTGCTTTTCTGAGGATGCTGTAAACACTACCTCAAACTATGTGGCTTGAAACCGAGCAACATTTTCTCTCATGAAGGTGTCACAGGGTGGTGCTCCCTCTGGTCACTCTAGGGATGCATCCTTTGCTTCTTCCTAGCAACCTGTGGTCATCAGCAGTCCGTGGCCAGCCTCGGTTTGTAGATGCTTCATGCAGTCTCCTAGGCTATGATCTCAAGGCCCTTTCTCAGTGTGTCCTCTTTTTTAGTATTTTATTATTTTTATTTTATGTGTATGAGTGAATTGCCTCCATGTATGTGAGTGCACCAATATCATACTCACCGAGGACAGAAGAGAGTATAGGATACCCTGGAACTAGAGTTACAAATGGTTGATAGCTACCATGTGGGTGCTGGGAATGGAACCAAGGTCTTCTGCAAGAGCAGACAGTGCCTTTAACCACTGAGCCATCTCTCCAAGCCCCTCTGTGTGTCTTATCTTCTCCTTGTATAAGGTCATGTTGTATTAGGTTCACCTGAGCTTAAATAGTTCATCTGAAAAAGCAATTTACAAACAATAATACATCCATAGATACTATTCAGCTTAACTTTTTTTTTTTTGATGCACACAGTTCATCTCATAATGTATGATATTGGGGGAAAGAAACCAGATCACACTTGAAAGAAAGAAAGTAGATATAAAATGTTAAAAAAAAAAATGTTAGGCAGTGGCGTGAGGCCAGGACATAGATTTTAAAAGAGCATTATTGAATCATCTCTCAATGAAGATGAGAGATGCCCATTGAAAGATGAGGCTAAAAAGTCAAGAGGATGTTGAGACGAAGTCACTGTAGGAGGAGGGGTCCTGGGAACAGGTGAGGGGTTAGCTGGTAGGAAGCAAACTCCGCCTCCAGTGAGCCGGACTGATGAGAGGGCACCAGGCACCCAGGATACAGGATAGAGAGTGGGCTGAGACCAGGGCGGAAGTTCCTGAGGGATGGACAGGTGATGCCCAAAAGTCTGGGGACTCTTAAAGGGAAGTGATCCTTTGAAGAAGGGTGAGACTTCTGATAAAATATGTACACTAAGTATTTCCTGTTGATTTTAGGAGTCCTCAAAATGACTCATTCGGAAATGGACAGCCTTCAGTATGAAA